CGATTATTAGAAACTTTGCGCTCACATACAACACCTGTTTGTATAGATTCTTCTCCATTCTTTTTTTATTGCGATTATTATTTTAACAATACGAAAACGTTACATTCGATTAACATGATTTAATTTTATTAAGAAACGAAGTGAGATTTTTCGCGATTAAAGATTATTAGTGAAAAAGATTCGTTGCTAGATGCTTTAACATTATTCCATCACAAGTATTGCAAAGAGAATCACGTGACGAACGCCAGTTAGAACACATCTAAACCAACCCCGAAGAAGATTCACCCTTATATACCGATTGGTACAACGCGTTTGTGCCACTATAACGCAAAATTGTTACACAATTTATTGTGTTAGGTATTAATCACACACGGTGTTTTCTTGTTTGTCTGGTAAATCCCGATAAATTAGGATAAATTATAGTGTGCGTGAGTAAAATAAACTAGTTGGAATATATGCATTTCGAAGATTTGGTACATGCGCCTTGACGATAGAAACCAACGAACCATACATGTATCATCTACGCATGCCTCGTATTTTGAACCTCCTTTCGATACTCCATATCAAAGGGATGTTTTCATAAATTAATATACGCATAAAATAACGTTTATTATTAATTCTTCTTCTCGTTAATTGAGAACACCTGAATATTTATTTCCATTTGCTTGAAGAACTTCGATATTTCGCTGACGAATATTCTTTGTCCTCTTGAGTGCATAATTCTTCGTCTAAGAGAAGTTCAAAATTTCCGAGTGCTTCCGGTGGTGGAGACTTGTTCCATCTAACGCTGTCGAAAATCGAATTTAAGTGATATCGAAAAGATTGATTTTTCAGAGATTAATGTGAGACTTACTCTGGGACACCATCCGGTGGGACGACTATTGAGATAATATTATCGATTAATTTGTATTTTAAAATTCGATCGTTCACTGTAGTAGACGTCAGTGATGGAGACGCATTTACCTAAAAATGGAAAAAGAATTAGCATGAAACGATAAAACAAGGAGAAATGAAACGAGTGAAGTTTGAAAATACATATAATGCAGTAGTAATGAGTTCAATAAGATCATATCTTGAGAAAAATGTATTTTAATATATATTTCATCAAAGGCGAACTCAATAAAAAATATTGATATCAATTCTTGTACAGGATTCATTTTCTGTGGAAAAAAGAGAAAACTTCGCAAAGATTAAAGACATGCAAAGATTAAAAATTTGGTTATAGATCAATATGATAAAATAAAAAATTTTTTTTATAAAACATTGTTCACTTATTACCCACGATATTTCATATATATATATAATTATAAATACAAGTGACTATTTCTTGATTATATATAGTTTTATATATGTGCAAGATTAATATATAACAAAAATATAATAGTAATAAATATATTCATAATTGTCAAATATTATCTTAATCAATATTATAAATAATAAAATAATAAAATCATTTTAATTATAAAATAGAAAAAATTATCAAAAGATTTTAAAACCTCTATAAGCCACGGTTTAAGATCATTATCAATAATGATGTCATAGCCGTAACACTCGAAACAATGTCGATCATTTGCGATAACTGGAACGACAGCTTTTAAAGAATGTACAATGCACCAAGTGATGTTTGCAAATAGTTTTTCTGTAACAGTTTTACCACGCGTGCTCTCCAAGTATAATCTTAAATTGTGCACGCTTAATTTACCACCATGCTTACTATTATATTCTTCCTGCAATAGAGAATCTTTTTATTTATCTCTTTTTTCTTTTTCTTTTTTTTTTTTTTTTCTAAGAAAAATTTACTTACACCATGTTTTTGCACAGATACATTTGTAAGATGAACGTACATATTATCCAATTCTTGGATACTAGTATCGTATTTAACCGTACAAAACCGGCAAAATCCTAATTTGAATAGATATGCTTTCAGTGGCCGAAAAGATGTAATAAGAACATACAAACGAAGATCAAATTTTTTGCCACCGATTAGAAGCGGATTATCAATGTATCTATATATATATATATTTATTGTAAAATAAATAAATATTTCTAATTATTTTAATATAAATTATATTAAATATTATTATGTACCTAGATATTACGTATGATTCTTTCGTCAAATTTGGATTAAATGGGTTTTTTGCTTCTCGAGACCACTTTTTCAATTTACTTAATTTGTTAATTAAAAATATACCAGCACCCTGTGATTTTCCACATGGTTTCATGATCCATGTGCTTTGCGGTGATTTACGGTATTCTTCCACAAACATATTATAATCTAAAGATGAATTCATCACATTAGATATATCGATGATAACTATAGCTATAATAATAATATTCTACCTGCCGGTAAAACAAACGTAACAGGTATGAAATCAAGATAAATATATTTCCCATCTCCTCTTTCCGCCAAAGGATTTCCTTCGCGTTCTAATTCCTTCCGATAACGTTTTATATTTTTTACTAAAAGATCTTTTCGTGTCAATTCGTAATGATTCGGAAAATGATTGATTATTCTAAAAGCAATATATATAAAATCAATATTTAAGATACATATCAAAATTTTTGATATATTTGATATATATCAAAATTTATTATATTTTCGATAAAAGATATTTAACTGTTTATCATCCATCCTATAGCCAGTTTCCACGCTGAATATGTTTCTGCATGATTGCGTGACTGCCCTATAATAATTTCAAAACAGTTTATTTACATAAGAATTAATTTATTCTTTTTATTCCTAAAGAAATAATAATTATTAATAAAAATTTTTTACATAAAATAATAATAAAAAAATAATATTTTTAATTTTAAATTGTTATTACCAATAGAAATTCCAATCATCTTCCGGACCAACTTGAACCCATCCCCTCTTTTCAAAGTTATGTACGATTACAGACTTGTCCACATCTGTACAAAACGTCACTTTCGTTTTGTCCGTTCCACTTGTCGATACTCTGTAAACGTTTAGAATTTTTCGAAAAGAAAAAGGAAATATACCTAATCACATTAATATTGAAACAATCTCTTCCTCCATTTATAATAATTAGATCCAATAATTATTATAACTATAATATAAATTCTTTTTTTTTCATATATTTTTCATTTTCATTTACCTGCCATGATTATTAGATACGTTTAAATTTGCTACACGTTTATTTTCTACTACTGTACCGGACGCCATGCCTTTTAGTGCTACGAGTTAAATCGATTCACCGTGGATACACAAAATTCGAAAATTTATGTATATATATCGAATTCCCGCGCATGGAGATCCTCGAATATGATAAACAAACAAAAATGAGTCAATAATAAAATTTAAGTTAAACACAGTCGGTTAATATTTCATATTTAATTTACAATATTTTTACTTTATTTTCTTTCTAACATACATGTTATCTTTAATTATTATCTATAATTATTTAAAATTTAATTATTTTACAATATATATTTAATAATATTATCTGATAAATTAATATTAAAATTAATTATATTATATTACATATAATTATAATACTTTAGCAAATAAAAAACTTTTTGTGTATTTAGAGTTCTAAATTAAGTCGATTAAATGATCGATTATCGTTTTATAGTACCTTCTTGCCATGTCTATTTTTGTTGTAATATCCTTTTCGTTGCAAATCGATCATAATTTTGAAAAATTCAATCGTTTTCGTTAGGAAAGAGAATCTTTTTTTAAAGAAAAAGGACTGATTTGGTTATATTATGATAAATTAACATTTGAGCCCGAAATGAATAGTTTGTTTTCATGTTAAAGAACAACCGGCTGATTTCAAGTGTGTTTATATTTCGCTCTTATTTTTTTTCTATCTCTGTTGACCGATCATTTTACGTGCCAGAAACGTACTAGCGTGTCGACCGGTAAGACGTATGAAATTGTATAGTTCTTGTACTAAAAATAAAAAATCATTTTAAATTCGTGATACCTCCAAATTGTGCTACCAATTATTTTGTTTTTAAATTTCTTTTTTGTATTTAAATTTATGTGATAATAAATACGTATTTATACTACAGTGCTTTTCGCGATTCGTTATTTTAAAAGAACAAGTGGTTGTTAAAGGTATACGTGCATTTAAAAAATTGTTTTATAATTGTCTAAGAAGATAAATAGTTTAAAAAGACATTTGATAAATAATTTAAAAAAACATTTGAGAACATTTAAAAAAATTTAATATATCGAAAACACGGATGTTTCACATATTCTTTGTGGTCAGTTATTATTATTTTGAGATCATATCGTAATGTCTATTACGTATTATAGTAAACGTATTGTTCGAAACACCGTTTCATTTTGTCGAAACGATGCGAATTAAACGTTAAAAGCGAACTACAAAGAGGCGATTATTACTTGCGAACCGGAAATTAAACGTTGCTCGAGAGTACCAAAACCGTCGTGAATATACGAGTGAATCATGTTTGCGCATTGGAATTTGTGTCATGAATTTATAATTCGAAATGCGTCTTTCATTAATTTCGTATTTACCAATGCATTTTAAGAAATATTAATTTCTATACTAATAAAGACAAATTTTTCTGTGTTCTATTTGCTTTAATATATTATTTCTCTAGATACTATTATTTTAATATTATTTCTCAAGATATATATAAATTATTATTTATTTGCTGTGTCATAATATTTATTAAGAATATTTGTATTATAATTATTGATTAATAAATATTCAATGATTTAATTAGGAAAGTACAAAATGTATTTCAATTCAAAATTTGGCAATCGTAATCCAATGAGAATGGCTAGAGGAAGAGGAATAGCACAAAGCAATTTATCTTTCAATGAATGCCTTTGTAATAGACCACATGGTTTTGTGCTCTGCAATGTTTGTGGTTACTTGACAAAGGGCAGAGTACGTTATTTCTGTCCTATTCATCCACAGGTGTGTTGTCTTTGATACCATATCCTTATATGAAGTATGAATGAAAAGAAGTTATTTACTTTCTCTTTAATTAATTTTAATTTTTAGTAATTTTTTTCTTTCCTTTTTACAGACAATTTTTTTGCTTGACATTGCTCAATGTCCTCAATGTAAGTCATATGGTTTTATGTTGAGTGAATATTAAATATTAAAAATATTATATTCTTTATTTAATTTAATGTTAAAATATATTAATAATATTTTTCTTATTCTTATTATCACATTTTACTATCATGAGTAGATATATATTCTATCATTATTTTGTTACTTATTTCAACTATTTTTATTATTGATAACAATGTATTTATTTTATGTTATTGTAACAAATGTAGAGACATAAAAAGACAAATACAGATTAATATCATTAAACTTTATTATTTTTATATTAAACTAATAAATTTATTTAAACCAACAGGGAAAGCCAGGCCATTTATTCTTTCTGTAAACTTACGAAAGTTAGCTTCTCTTTGTTCCATTTGTTCTTTATATTTATCTTCTGAATCTTTAGGAATTATATCAGGAAATGTGAACGACTGATCTTTGGGCTAAAAATAATATGTTTTTTTAATATTATTTAATTATTTAACATAATATATATTAATATATTATATTATATTATATAATATATATTGTATAATGTCAAAAATATTTTTATTAAAAATATAAATCTTCTTTCTAATACTTACTAAAACTACATAAGCTATTTTTATATCATCTTCTTTAACAACAAATTTTTCTGGCATATGCGTTTTTCCAAGAGCAATTCTAGTATTCACATACACAGGATAAACATTATAAATTTTTTCTAAATAATTTTTTACATCGATTTTTGTCATCTCCATTGAAACATGAAATTCTACTACATTTTTTGGTTGGTTATGTTGTGGTTTTACAAGTTTCATCCAAAAATTTGGAAGAAATATTCTAAGTTGTGGATTACCTTTCTGATATAAAGGATACCTATAAAATTAAATAAAATCATGTAAAATTTATATAAAATATATATAAATTAAATAAAGCTTATTCAATATATATGTTTTAAATGCGTTCTGAATCGTATATTAATTTTATTATTATATGAAAAATATGTATTTACCAACGAGTAGACATTTTTGTCTCATAGAAAAAATTTACTGCAATAGTAATAATGTATTTATATTAAACTTATATAAATGCATATAAACAAAGTTTAATATTTCATTCATAACAGAGGTTATGTTACAGTTTTCACTGATATAAACTAGATGGCGAAACAGATGCGTCGTACATATAATATATATAGTTCTATTCTTTTAAACCTAAAACAAGTTTGATTTTTATGTTAATTTTTCTTTCTTGTTCTATTGTAAAATAAAATTTTTGAATATGTTTCTTTTTTTAAAATCGATTTCGATTGGAACTTTTCTCATTTAAATTTATTTATTGACAAAATTCTTAACAAAATCGAAATTCATAAGTGATTCGATAATCGATTTTATAAAACATTCAGCTTTTGAACCGATTCAGTGCTGTAAAAAAGACGTCCAAGTGTATTTCGGCATGACTTCTTTCTTCAGCTAAATTAACAAGAATATGCTTCACGAAATTGTTTCGCAACGGAACCTGCTTTGACAACGAAACAATTTGTCTAAGAAGATCGTTATTAAATACTTGTATGAAGTAAAGGATTATATTAAACGCTTTCCAGAATTTTGTTGACATTTTTAATCGAAGATGAGCTGCGATTTATTACCGGAATGGCTCAATCTTTTCCTGGACGATGTAGAAACTACTTTATGCTTACCAATATTACTTATTATGGTCCTTTGTACTCTTCAATTTATAGTTAATCACGCAATGGACATTGGCTTTACTTTTTATCAAAATATAATGCAAAAATCTGAAGAAGAAGAAGTAAAAAAGGATAAAGGCGAAAGTTTAATGGATAAGATTAGAGGTTTTTCTTCCATTGAAAAATTTATTTGAAAACATACTAAATATTTTAATATTATTTTTTATAAATAATCTTTGAATTTTTTCTCTAGGATATATATGTAACGTAACTTGTGTTGCTGGTAATACCGATTCGAAACAAGAAGAGAGCGCAGCACCATCGATGCTTAGGTCAAATTTGCAAGAAGAGGAATGGGATTATTGTGAGGACGACGAAGAAAAGTGACAGATATACATTGCAGGAAAAATTATAAGCTTCATTGATAAGTAATCTATTGTAACTTTTATATTGCTTATATTTTAAAAATATTAATTTCAAATTGATACTATATTAAACTTAATAAATAATACGACAATAATGCGATATTAATAGAAAATGAGATACAAGCAATAGTTAAAATTATAAAAAAATAATTATTATGAACATGATATTTTCGATTTAAAAATTCTATTGTTTTATAAAAAAAACTTGATTTTTATCTTTTAATGTAATTTTGAGTTATTTAGTTTTTTTATTATTATTTTTTTATAATGAAAAAAGAAAGTAAAAGAATAAGAAAATATTTAGGTAAATAGAATTACCGAAAAAATATTATTTACTTAATAACATTTCATGATGCTAAATAATTTGCATTATGTTAGTTCAAGGATTCAAAGTTAAAAAAAAACCAAGTTAAGTTGTGATTTTTTGATATTTTTAATTTTCTCTTTAATGAAAATCCAATGAATGTCAAGAAAGAAATTCGTGTACAAACAACATATCTGAATATTGTTGAGCCTCAATCAGGTTGACGATTAAGTGATATTTTTCTTGCCAGTCTATTGGTTTGCGCGAAAAGATTGGACTTGGTTCATTAATACTGATGTCATTTATCTGAAACATATCGTTTTTTTCATTTTGCACGATAAATTTCACTGTTACCACTCACTTACATGGTTGTTTTATTCGTAAACTTGTTTATTGAACTTGTATTAAAATTAATATTCGACATTCGCTTAAATGACTCTTCTTAAAAGTTATACTAGAACAGACCGTTTTATGATCGTGCACGTCTTTCTTTTATATTTTATATTTATCTGTCTTTTTATAACAATATTAATTGAATCACCTATCAGGTGTTTTTTAAGGCTGCATCTTTCTTTCGTTTTTTACATTACCTCTTTCTCCTAAAACATTTATTTTTTCTGTTTATATGAAGAAAAAATAAATATTAAATATATAATAAATATTTATTAAAATAAATTTATAGAAAATTAAAGTAAGTAATTAAAATTTATTAAATATTTCAGTTTTTTTTTACGAATAATTATTTACTTTCGATTGTCTCACTCATTATTAAAATAAGTATGTTTTTAGGAAAAGGAGGTGATGTACTTTAATATATTTCAATAATTTACACAACTCTCGCGAAGAAAATCCGTCCGTTTCAAGTCACTTAGCAATGATAATGGTAAGAAGAATATCAGCAGCGATAAGAATGTTAAATATTATTATAGTAACAGTAGTTATAATGTAAATGGTAGAAATCTAATGTCTTTCATTATGGCGAACCATTCTCTAAAAATTCTCACTTATGGATTTTCGTTTTAGACACTTTCATTTGTTTGAAGTTCGTGTCTTATTGTTTAATCTGAAAATGTATACACAAACACTTCACTTATACTTTACAAGATTTTTTCAGAGACCCGTCACAAGTCATCTTATATTCTTTTTTTTCATAATATAATGAAAAAGTACTAATTATACTGATTTAATTGCATTTCTTTGGTCATATAGAAGAAATATATTGCTACATAATTTTTCTTGTTCGATCTATTTTTTTTTTTTTTTTGATTGTTGATCAACATTCATTCACCATACAATTAATTTCCAAAATAATTCCATTGAATTTTTTACGTTAAAACTTTATTTATCGTTTTTTCGATATAGCCAAAACACAGAACATTCCACCAATATTCTTTCATCCACTTAAATTCAAATTTTCCTTCACAAAATCATCCATGATTGCAGCGTCACATGAAAACATTCTCCAAACCGGAAACATTTTTCCTTGTGGGTGTAGAGGTGGCGCAACTCACGCCCTCATCCTCAAACGTGACCATCTTCTCGCGGCTTCTTGTCGCCGTTCCTGTACATTCCAATAATCTAGACTGATTCGTCGATGCGGAATTAGATGCCGAAGGTACCGGTGGCGTGACAGCTGAGGATGGTCGTAAAACTGAAGTAGGTGGCGGTGGTGGCACAGCCATGTCTGTAACCGCCGCTGCTGCCAGATTGAACTCACTCACGCTTCTAGGCACAAAGTACTCGAAGTGTAAGGAACTTTCTTGTTGACGATGTTGATGATGATGATGATATTGTGTTGGAGACAGACAACTGCGTCTTAAAGATTGGGCACGTTGAAACTGTTGAGTCGAAGAATTTCTGGATTCGGATGTTTTCTTTCGTGGCAGAGAATGATGACCTGGTGATGGTTTTATGGCAGTGTTGGACGTGTGGGCCAGGAGCTTCCCGTCCGCGGGACTCCTAGCCTGATGCTGTCAGGATGTTGGCACCATGGACATGGCGATCGCTTCTTCTTCTTGTTCGGACAATCGCGAGTCACTGGTACCTCCTCCGTCATCCAAGTCGGCCTTGAGCCCAGGACTGGTACCTGTTAAATATATTAAGGATTTATAGTTTTTTGAAAGATGAATTAAAAAATTTTTAGTTCTTGATTTGATTAAAATGGTTTTTTTTTTGCATTTTTAATGAAGGGGTTATGCAGAGTGGTCAAGATGCCCAATCGAAATCCCCGACGCGAGTGGATCAGAACCGCTCTACGTGCAAGCGAATGCGAGTTTGATATTCGTTTCGTGATTCCTTTAACACTTTGAGCCTGAATTGGAAATGAAGTCTTGCTTTTGAAAGAAAAAGCTAAAGCTTTGATAGTTAAAAATAAGGTTAAAAATAAATGATTATTTATATTATTATATAATTCCTTTGATATATTAAGAAATATATAGAATTCAACGTTACAAACGCATTAATGTTTCATTAAATTAAATTAGTTTTAAAGAAAATAAATATTTTTAATTTTATATTTCCAAATGTTTGAAAAATATATAGTTACGAGATATCTTGCTTAAATCAATATTTATGAATAGGTTAAAGCTAACAAGATTTAATTAGACTAAAATTTCAGTTAATATTAATCAGCTAATAAATTCTATTAATTGTTTTTTTAATTTTATTATTCAAAAAATTTGATAAATCTAAACCTAATCTAACCAATAATTTGCCAATAATTGCATTCCTATTTTTAGGAATATAAGCATACAATAATAATACCAATATTATTATAGAAATACTGTTAGTTTTTAAACAGTATTATCTATATTTATATATAATATATATCATCATCAGACTCAAAGCGTTCAGATTAGAATCTAAAGCATAGCTGAATAAAATAACTTCTCATCCGGAACAAATTAGCGGTTCCCCGTCGAATGCCTGCATCAGGGATACCTGTACCACCGATAGGTCCGACCACCACCCCCGACGACATGCCGCAGGTTCTACCGAAGACCCTGACCACGCGTACCACCTCCTCCTGGACGAGGTTGAAGCACATGGCGATCAGGCCCATCCCGGCGAGTATGTAGAGTGAGCAGGCGCACAAGCTGAGCTCCTCCAGAGTAGCGGACGCGGCGTTTCGTCCAACGGGCATTAAGTCACCGAAACCAATGGTTCCGAGGCTGGTGAAGCAGAAGTAACCGCCTTCCAAGAGGCTCCAACCTTCCAGACGGTTAAACATTAGCGCGCCACCGCATATGTAGATCAGCATAATCACCAAGCAAAGACTAATCGGTATCCTCACGGGATTCGTTTCCACCACGTAGCCTGGTGACGAGTTCGTCGATAGGGACAGTGAGCACGGATGAAAATGACGTTTACTGTTTCCCGATGACATATCCTGATTGAAAGATTGAAATATTTGTTATATACAATTATATTACATATTATGATATTGTGTTTTTATATATATATATATATTTAATATAAGTAAGTATGGTATATATGCTTAGATTATTTAAGTCATATATTAATTGTTTGTAAGCATGTATAATTTTTCTAATTTATTATTTTGTTTGTTTCTTAATCTAGAATGATTATCCACAATTTAAATGTGAAATCATGTTTTCAGAATAAAATACGTTATACCTGAAGTGCAGCAGTAGAGCTAGTAGTAGCATGAAGCAATCCCTCGCTTCCACAATCCAATAAAATGGCACTACTGGTGCCTCTAGTTCCTAAATCATCGCAGGAGCTCTCTCTACTAGCCGAATAATAATTTCCAGATTTTGAATCGACATGGTTATCGTATCTGTAAGTTTTGCTCATAATTCCTCCTACAGGAGGCGGCGGTGGAGGTGGTTGTTGCTTTCTGCTGCAATTTCTTGGTCTACACAATCGGCCATACAAACGGCGGAAGCTCCTTGAGAGGACATCACCAACCGTGCTTAAATAGACTAGCATTAAGGGAATCCCGGCTAGAGCGTACACTATTGTGATCAAACGACCCCAGACTGTGCGAGGTGCCACGCTACCATATCCTGAAACGTCAATCGACCAAATCGTATCACAATCGACCGCTATTAAGAGAACAAACGAAGACTGGTTGAATATGAAACATTTATTGGAAATGTAATGGATGTATTTTGATTGTAAATGAATTGGAATTGATTTTACGTTACTTTTTTATATAGAATTTTTATTTAAAAGTTTACTTATTATTGAAAATATGACACGTCATATAAGTTAATTTCTATCTTATCTATCTTTTAACTTATATGATGTATAATAATATGAATGTTATATATATAAAATTTTTATATATCTTTTATATCGTTCTAAAAATTGTATATAAAAAATATTTATATTTTTACTAAAAATGTTGATGTCTGTCCTCACCTATGGTGGTAATCAGAGTCAAGGAGTACAGCAAACTACCACTGAAGGTCCATCTTCGATGTGGTCTCCTATCTATGGAATGGTCCCTGGATCGAGATGATGGTTCGTATTGCGAAGAAGTTCTCCTAAGACCTCGTGCCAGATTTTCTTGGAATTCAAACACTTCTCTCGCTGCTAGCCTCGTCCAGTTTTCCTTGTACAGTACATTCAAGTCCTCTGTGATACTCCAGAGCCTTTCAACGGTACGTGCTCTCAGTTCCATAGCGGCATCATCTTCAAGACTAGGTACCACGTACGATCCTCCCTCAGATTTTGAACTCGTGGAAACGAGTAAGTCGTTCGCTGCATCCTATCATACAAAAGCGAAAATATTTATTAAATATATATATAATTATTTTATAAAAAAAATTTAGGATCAATTAATATCAACTATAGGATTAATTTCATAATTTGTGCATGCAAATTTATGTATGCATAGAACAATTTCAAAAAAAGAAAAAAACAAAAGAAACGAAAAAGAAAAAAAAATACTTTAGCTATATATCTTTTATATTTCATTTAAAAGTTCTTATTTCACATTAATTTTAAATATATGCGTATATATAAAATATATAAAATAATAAAATCAAATTTCAGATGGATATTTCTATTATATTATAAGCCTATTATTGTATGTATTATTTATAATTCATATACACATATATTTTAATATATGTTCAAAATCTCTTTAATTTTTTTATCAATACAAAAGACATTATTCATTGTTCTTATATATATTGATACAATATTATATTGATAATATATTAATACAATATTAATACAAATAAATTTCCATAGGCATATCAATTTCTTGGCAAGGAATCTATTAGCATCGTTCAAATTAATAAGTCGCCAGGATTTAATAAATTATTGAAGAAATCATCACTCACCGACTTCAGACCACCTTCCAGCGCCATAAAAGCGAATGCACCAAGCAGCGTGTACCCCAGCACAAGCACGCATACTCCTAAACTGGCCAACAATCCTGGTGTCTTGGTAGATGTTGCCGTGCTGCAACTGCAGCAACAACACAGCAATTCCGCTCCCCTCACGGAAGCGCTGATCCTCAACGCGTCCGCATTCGCGTTCGCGTTCCTTCCTGGACAGCATCTCGGCGCCCTCTGATAGTAGTCGCCGGTGCTCTGCATCGTTTCAGCCACCGTCTACACGCCGTTACCGGCAGCCTCGTCGTCGCCGCAGCTGCAGCTGCAGGTGCAGCGACCGACGCCGCAGCTGCAGCCGCAACCGGTCGCCTCCTATCGTTCCACTATCCTCCCTCGAGCCTCGTCCATTTGGTGTGCTGGCAAACCTATTGCAGAAATTACCTAATCTCATTAAATCTTGTCGCATACCTGTGTTGCCCTCAGGTCAGGTACAAATGAACGTGGTTTTGTCCTTGTCAATTGCAAGTGTGCAATTTATTGCCATTCAACGCGTATGATTTTTCCAGACATTATTTGCAGGATTATTTTATGGAAAATTATGGAAAATAATTTAACATGTTCATATATATTTTCTTTAGAATTTTATATTATATACATATTTGTATATGTATCTCATTTGTATTTTTTTATTAATCAAGAGAAGAGATACTATTCATTATTTCTTGAAAATATATTTCTTTGATATATATGTTTGATATATTAGATGTGAATTCGTTAACGAAGTTATATATATACTGATATGTTTACATAGAAAGTTGGAATCTTGCATATATGAATGTATATTTCTATTATTGGAAATATTAAATCTTGCAATATCAAATTTCTAATTATTTGCTTGATTCAATTAAAATAGACAATCATTCAAAATGGGTTGTGCAATTTGAAATATGATATACGAATTAAAAAAATACTTTGTATTATATATAAAAAAAGATTTTTATAAATTATATGCTCTTCAAAGATCAGGATCATTTCAAGATTGAATTTTTTGTGTTGTTTTTCGAATTACGTTCAAGAAAAGATCAAGAAAAAGAATTTTTATTCTTCTCTAACATTTTATATTATATAATACATATATTGTAATATATTAATCTTGATATTGAATTGTTGAATTTCATAGTATTATTACATTATTTGTCTGTATCAGATTTAATTCTTTGATAATGATTAGGAATCTCTAGGAAATACTCAATAGTACGAATTTATTATATATTTTATAATGTTTTTGAATGTTACTTAGAGCAGATATATATCTATATATTTCTACATATCTACATATTTTACTTCAGAGTATTATTTTTACATTTTCAAATAGTTGTAAACGATATCTAATTATATAATTTTATATGTTATTACGCGCACATTGTAAACCATTCCATTTTTCTCTTTCTTATGACTTTTCTATGGACAAATTATTTGAATGCTATTTATTACATATATATTAAGTTTACTTCGGCTATCTATACCCGAAAAATATATATTTGTGTCAAATAAATTTTTTTTATTATTTTATTTTTTTTTCCTTTAATTTTTCAATTTTTGCAATGATTAAATTCTTTAAGGATTATATTTATAATTTTTAAATAAAAAAACATTTGAACTCAAATAAATTTCAAGTTTTATATTTCAATAGGAATATTATATAAATAAAATTATTAAATTGACAATTTGAAATTGCATAAGATTGATTTGATACTATTAGTTGGTTAGTATTTCTTTAAATAATTAAACTTCCTGCAAATAGAATTTCTGGGTACTTAATCAATGTTCAACAAGTTTAGAAGCAATCAAACTTTCATCAATAAGTTTTTAGTTATCATTTTCTGATACAATCAAGCTTCAATTATATTAATTATATCATAATTATATCAAGACAATATTTACATTCATGAATTTATCTTTTTAAAAAACTTAAAATTTTATTAAAATTTAAAAATTTAAAAACATTAATCAAATTATAATTATAATTTTTAATATTATAACAAAAACTACATTAATTTTATATTAATTTATGAATGATATAATGTGATATATCATTTTTTTCTTTAATTAAAATAAATATCTTAAAAATTTACGATATTTTAGAAATAATTTTTTATAAATTATTAAAAAGAGAATATTGTTTTGTTACTTGTATTTCTAGATAAATGAGGTAGAAGTTATATTTCTGTGATCGCGTGTTAATTAATACGGAAAAATGTAAATAAAAGGGGGTTGCTAAGGGTGAATGGGGTTCCGCATGTGTAAATAAGAGTCACCCTTTGTTTACGGATATATAAGAAAGCCACGAAGGCTTGTGAAAGGATTATTTTTCATAATTTTTCTAATATTAATTTCTGCTAATATTAAACTTTTTAATATAATTGTGTGAATTATTTATAATTTTTTTCTGTGAAAAACTATTGTTTGTGGACGAAAATATTAAAAATATTTAATATTTAGAGAATGAGAAAAGATTTAGAAAAAAAAAAGTATGTATCCACTTGTTATATTTTTCTTTTATTAAAATTTTGATATCTTAAATTATATATAAATTATATTTTTTTAAATTAAAGTTTTGGTATTTTAAATTAATATTGAACAATATTTTATATCCAAGAAAAAAAAATTATAACAAACAATATACTCATTCTTAATATACTCAATATACTCAAATTTCAAGATTCAAAATAACAGAAAAGATACTATTTGTTTTGATATCTCTACTAGACTTTATAAATTAATAAATATTGATGTTCAATTTAATTGATTAATAATTAAAATTAAAAAATCTAATACTATGTATATACATTAATATGTTTTAATACTTTTAATAATGAATTCTATTATATCTTTTTATTCAAGTTATTCAACTTATAATTTTCTCCAATTAAAAATTTTATCACTTGATTTTTTAATTTTTATGATAATTTTGATAAATCAATAATTTATCTATTTAATTTAATATTTCATTTTTGTTTTAGGATAAATATATTTTATTGTTCAGCAAAATTCTATTGTAATAAATTTAATACCTGATTTTCGATAATTTTATTTGAAATTTCTTAATGTTTCCAAACTTTTCAACTGTAGTATAAATAAAAATAAAAATCTATATTATCGATTGATCAATATTATTTAAGAAAAAAGGAAAGTATGAATTGAAACAAGAATATTCGGTGAGAAAAGTACGGACAGAAATTGCGGACACGAACGAAGCACAACTGTGAACCGTTGTACTCCGGTGTCGTGCAGCGTTGTATGTGAAGCGTACAAGCGAAAGATAGAAGGATTCGCAGCCGCTCCAGTTGAAGCATTGTACCGTGGTTACCAGAGATAAGGCATGAAATTAAATTCGACGGAATGTGGGTCGTCGTGGCATCCCTCCTTTCGCGACCATCCTACGGCCAACGACGACATCGATGCACACAAACATCCTCCGCCTCGTCATCGTCGTCGTCGTCATTGACTATATTCTTGCAAAAATCACGGTACAGGTTACTTCAGAATCATTTTGTCAATCGTACAAATAAATGGTAATCTAAAAATCAGTAAAAAAAAAGAAGTTTTTCATCTAAATTTTAAAAATTAAGATAAAAGAAATCGGTCAAGAATATTATTTTAATGAAATTGAGATCAAATAATTGCTGGGAATATATATATTAAATTATAGGTTAGCTTGAAACTATTATTTTATTAATATTTTATTTGTTCACTATGTAACGAGTTATTAAGTTCATATATTGTTTAATGTAATGTTTCTTGATCGAGTTATAAAAGGCTCTATATATTTCGCAGAACGAGAATTTATGATTCAATGTGTTCGTTGAATCGAGACGAATTCAGCTAAACGAACAATGAAAAGGAGATGTGGAAAAATTAACCGACCGAATGAAGCATCTATCTTCAGTTTTAGAAAAATTTGATCGATAAAGAAATTAATTTTTCCTTTTTTTGTTTTATGATTGATAAGTTTTAATCAATGGATTTTATATTTCTATAAATTTTAGAATAAATATATCATGAAATTGATCGAAGAATTATAATAAGATATAGGATTTTTATTAGCAACGATTACCTCATATTTATTTCATTGCATCCTATTTATTATATTGTGAAACACTGTACTCATTATACGGATCACCAATATAAAATTTTAAAAAATGTATTTCTTAAAAAATAAAAAATTAATTATTAGAAATTAATAAATTGATAATCATTAAAAATTACAAACGTCTAACATTTTGATGTCATTCAATAAACGAAGTCGATATCTCATTTTTTTTCGATTCAAATAAGAATCGATTCGAATCGATTTTCAGAAAGTTATTACAGATGGCGTTACGATTTATCAATGTGCGAGAGCGTTCGAGATGCAATGAAGCGATCGAGATATGATCCGAGGATCTGTTGTTAGGTGGTAAATGTGAAGGAATCGCATTCCCTTGTGGTTAGGTAGTTTAATTGGAATTGATGTTGCAAGCCCAGTGTTACAATCGACGCAGTACTAACCCGCGTAACTAATTAACACGCCCAAGATAATCCAAGTGAATCGCATCTAAGCAATAGTTCCCTCGTGAGGGAGGTGATCGAGCGACTGTAGAGGTTATGGGAGCGTCAGAGATCGAATGTTCAATAAGAAGATTTATGTTGGATTAAATATAATTCTCTACATATAGTATAAGGTACTGTATTATATACACATATATTCATACTGTATATATTATACATTCTCTGTCTCTTTTCAAAATTCGTCAGATATAATCTCAACCATGATTAATTAATATGGTAATAAATATTGTAATTGTATCAAATAAAATTTAGGTTTTCAATGTTAGGTCAAGATAAAAAGTTACAAATAAAAAGATTTATAAAATATATTATTTGATTCTCAATTAGATTTTTGTTATCGCAGTCAAGTAAGGAAAGCATTCTAACCTAAAAGTATTCATATAAATTTCATTTAAAAAACGGATTTTTGGATTATTCGAATTAAATATATCTATCTTATTTACTTAAATAGAGATATTATATTTTGTATATATTTTATTTAAAGATTTATTTCTTATTTATTACTAGATAAAATTGATCATAATAATTACGATGTTACATATGTAATCAATTGAATAATCTAAACTTCAAAAAATTTTCCTAATATATATCCGAACAACCATTAGTAATTTATTCAAATACCGAAATACTCAAAGTTCGCAGTTCAAGAATAGTCTAGAAGCATAGTCGGATTTTCCTCGCAATTTCGTTTGAAATCCCGTTATAACATAGAATTCGTCTCGAAATTCGCCAATTTCGAGAGCACTTTCAAAAGTTCGCGGACTCGAGAATACCAGTGATGTATCGAGAAATTTCGTTTATCCACCAACTCTTT